AGGGGGGTTGGACTCGATGATCTCTGGAGGTCCCTTCCAACCCCTACGATTCTGTGATTCTGTGATTCAGTATTCTTGACAAGCTAATCAGTACTCTCATTACATGAATGATGTGGAAGGAAGTAAGCTTACACAGCCAGCTTGGACTTGGATACGTGCTTCCCTGCAAGTCTGTTAAATGCTTTACACTTCAGGGCACTGATAACTCAATTTTTTTTGCATTGTATTATGTTCTATTTTGGTAACAATTATGTTGTGATTGGTCCTTGCCTAGTGTTTGCTTCAGGTTTTGGTTCTGGTTGTTGTTTTACAGTGTCAAACCATTTCTTCTCTAACAGTCCACCATGCTCAATAAGGGCGTTCTTCACAGATTCACAGAAACACCAAGGTTGGAAAAGACCTACAAGATCATCCAATCTAACCATCCACTTATCAGTGATAGTTCTCACTAAACCATGTCCCTCAACGTAACATCGAAACGTTCCTTGAACACCTCCAGGGTCGGTGACTCCACCACCTCCCTGGGCAGCCCATTCCAGTGCCTGACCACTCTTTCAGAAATGTAGTATTTCCTAACATCCAGCCTAAATCTCCCGTGGTGCAGCTTGAAGCCATTCCCTCTAGTCCTATCACCAGTTACATGAGAAAAGAGGCCAACCCCCGCTCACTGTGACCTCCCTTCAGGTAGTTAGAGCAATAAGGTCTCCCCTGAGCCTCCTCTTCTCCAGACCTAACAATCCCAGCTCCTTCAGCCACTCCTCATAAGTCCTGTGCTCCAAACCCCTCACCAGCTTTGGCGCCCTTCTTTGAACCCGCTCCAAGGCCTCAATGTCTTTCTTGCAGTGAGGGGCCCAGAAGTGGACACAGTACTTGAGGTGCAGTTTCACAGAGCTGAGTACAAGGGGACAAGCACTTCCCTGCTCCTGCTGGTGACTCTCTTTCTGATGCAAGCCAGAATGCCATTGGCTTTCTTGGCCACCTGGGCACAGTGCTGGCTCACATTCAGCCGAGCATCTATCAACCCCCCCCCAGGTCCATTTCCTCTATGCAGTCTTCCAGCCACTCTGCCCTCACCCTGTAGTGTTGCGTGGGGTTGTTGTGGCCAAAGTGCAGGACTTGGCATTTGGCCTTGTTGAACCTCATTCCATTGGCTTCAGCCCATCAATCTAGCCTGTCCAGATCCCTCTGCAGGGCCTCACTACCCCCAGGCAGATCCACGCTTCCAGCCAACTTGGTGTCATCTGCAAACTTCCTGAGGGTGCACTCAATGCCCTTATCTGGGTCATCAGTAAAGATCTTGAAGAGGACAGGCCCCAGCACCGACCCCTGGGGAACACCACTCGTGACAGGTCTCCAGCTGGATTTAGCTCCATTCATCACCATTCTCTGGGCCCAGCCTTCCAGTCAGTTCCTTATCCAGCCAAGAATATACCGGTCCATGTCATGGGCTGCCAGCTTCTGCAGGAAATACTGTTGGAAACAGTGTCAAAGGCCTTGCTGAAATCTAGGTAGACTACATCAACAGCCTTTCCCTCGTCTACCAGACGGGTCACTAGATCATAGAAGGAGATCAGGTTGGTCAAGCAGGACCTGCCCTTCATGAATCCATGCTGGCTAGGCCTGATTCCCCAGTTGTCCCGCACATGCCATGTGATCTCCCTCAAGACAATCTGTTCCATAACCTTCCCTGGCACCAAGGTCAGGCTAACAATTAATTACACGAAGGCATTCAAAGTCAGCATGACCACCACAATTCTCCTGCTGTGTTGGCCACCTAACTGCAGTCTCTCTGCACGTCCTCACATCGGATGGTGCACAGTTCCCCCATTGCACTACCCCAGCCCCTTGTGTGGTACACACACGGGAATACATTTTGCTTGACACAGTCGTGATCCCTGCTGTTGCACTTCACAACCTCGTACTGACAGTGGAAAGCAGAACTGGAGATGCCATCTGTGCCTCCCTCTGATTAACATTCATGATTATATATTTAATGATCATTAAGGCAGTACGTACTTCTAAATAAATTAAGTTCCTTTCTTAAACAGGAGCAAATTGAGCATTAGAAATACGTTACAACAAAGTCATGCAGCATTAAGCAGTCCATAATTCTATTTGTTTTTTAAAATACTCCTGAACTCTGTGAACTTACACAGAGCCCATTCAGGAATCTGTTCTTTACATCATTTTTTTTTTCCCCTGTGCACATAGCTTCCTTGCTAACCTTAAGTCTTAAAAAGAAGTGAACCTGGGCTGAAACCCAGAACAGCTCTCCTAGAAGCTCAACAACTGCAGAAAGGCCAAATGCCACAACAGCGGCCCGATAATGAGGAACCACAAACAGAACTTCTAGGAAGTCCAGTCAGATGAAGGCCAAGAAAACAGACCAAAAAAACACCAAGAGGGACTCTAAAAAGGCAACGTAACAACAGTCAGGTTTTCTCCAGCAGAAAAAAGAACAGGAGAAAATCTGATTAAAATTTCACATGCTGGTATACTTTCCTTATTTTTGAAGAGATCTGATGACTTCATTTCTATTGCAACTCCAAGCTTTGGTGTAACCTGTAACTACAAGTTGCCACGTGCAGCCACAAGCTTTGATGCCACTCCAAGTGCTGTGCCGACTTTCCAGCAATGACAGCGCAGTCAGCAGACTAAAACACGCCCGCAGCCCAGCCGTGCTGGCTGCCAGCAGCACTGCAGCGCGATGCCCCTTCCAGCAGCGGCCGCTGCCAGCAAAGCCGAGCAAGGCACGCGGTGCAGACACGCACTGCCTTCTGCTGATGCTGCTTCAGGACCTGCAGCCTCTGCCGGAGCGCGGCAGGTTTCACAGCACTGCAGCAGGGCGAATCTGACCCCCCCTCAGATCCCTGAGCTGCGTGACGTTCAACTCGCAGCACGTGCTTCACATCGCTCAGACAACACGGCTTGCATTTTAAATCGCGCTATTCTAGGAGGAAAATTGGAAACGGAAACGTCTTCCTCAGGCGAGCCCTCGGACAAGAACGAGCAGTTAAAGAACAGCCGAGGAGCTCTCACGTCAGCCACAGCACGTTGATGGACGCAGCCCAGCTCCGCTCCGCGCCGCCGCTCAAGCGGGCCCTGCGGAGCGCCTCCCTGGCCGGGAAGACGGCCGTGGAATAGAGCAGAGTCAGCCCGGAGGAGACGGGAGGGGAAGCGCACAAGCGGTCCTTCGCTCGCCGCCTCTGCAGGCGCCCGTCGTTAACCCGTCCTGCCACGCGAGGCCGTCCGACGCGCGGAACCGAACCCGGCCACGCGAGGCGGCTCATCGCCGGCTCCCGCAGCCAGAAGGCAGAACGGCGATCGCCTCACGCCGACGACGCCGAGGAGCTCCCTGGAGAGGCGGCGCAGCGTCAGGGCGTTCAGCCCGAAGGCGGCCGCCCGGAACAGCACCTGCGGAGGGAGCGGGGCGGGAAGCGCTGCCTTGGG